CACACACACACACACACACACACACACACCCTTCCACAAACGCGCACACACACCTACACGTACACACGTACACACACATGGATTCGACGGGGCCCGTGATATACCCACTGGCGGCTCACCCGTCCGTTGCCCGAGGGGCACGCCCGCCCCAAGAACGCGCACGACGCTGGACGCGAGCGGGCCCCTGCTGCACCCCCCGGCGGCTCTCCCTCGGGGTTGCCAAAGCACAACGCCTGCTGCATCGCGGTGATCCTCTGGACGCCAGGACAGGCGCCGCACCCGAGGGCGAGCCCACATCGGGACCCGTGAGATCCCTGGAAAACAACCCCTTGGGGTCCAAGTCGCCAGGCCCGCTCCATCGCAATGATCATCTTGCCGTCGCTCGGACGTCCATTCCCCGTGCATTTGTCGGTGTCGCGCGTGTATTTTTTTGTTGCTCGATGGTCCAGGATGGTCCTCGATGGTCCTCGCCAGCGAGTGGCCCCGAGGGGGGCGCTGCACGAGTGGCCCTCAGACCTTCTACGGCGAGCCCTCAGACCGTGCTCGCACGAGTGGCAGTCGCGGGGCGCGGCACGGCACGCTGACCATCCTGTGCGAGGCTGCTCGCGCGCACAAGCTGCCCGCCTGAGGTCGCGTGCCGGCGCCCCCGCTCCTGGGCGGTGCGTCGCTCGCCGGCGGCCTCCTGCGAGCACGCTCTGAAGGCTCGCCGTAGAAGGTCTGAGGGCCACGTCCGAGCGATGCCGAGTCATTGGGGCTCTGGCGAGAGGAGGGCGGAGTGCCAAAAAAAGGGCACGCTGCGAGCCTGGACGCGCCCGGGCCCGTGACATCGCCCCCTCGAGCGGCTCCCCCTTGGGGTGCCCGAGCGCCACGCCTGCTACATTTAAGTCGGGCCTGTCCCCCTACAGGGGGATTGTCGACGAACAATAAAAAATACTCAAAACAATACCCCAGAAAGGTCAAACAATATTCAAAAAAATAGTCCCCAGACTATGTTTGGACTATGTTTGGGGGTATTTTTTTATTTTTCGTCGAAAATCCCCCTGTAGGGGGACATGCCCGACAGAATGCTGCATCGTCATGACCATGGGGCTCTGAAGGGGGGGGGGAGTGTCGAGTGCCAAAACAGGGCTCTGCCTGACGAGGACAATACCTGGCCACGAACGGGCCTGTGGTATACCTGCTGGCAGCTCCCTCCTGGAGCGTCCGAGCGCAACGCCTGCAGCATCGCAGTGAACACAGGTGAGCGACTACGAGTGTGAGTGGTGAGTCTGAGTGTGAGTGATTCTAAGTCTTGTTGAGTCTGAGCGTGAGTGAGTCTGAATACGAGGGAGCCAGGGTCTTAGCGAATGTAGAGTACGAGCGGTATGTGTGTGTATGAGTCTGAGTATGGCGAAACCGAGTCTGAGCGGAGTTGAGTGTGAGCGAGTCTGAGTGTGAGTGAGCCTGAGAGTGAGTAAGCTTGCGCGTGAACGAATATAAGCGAGGGGTATGTTTGTGGGTGAGTCTAGGGATGGCGGGCAGGAATATAAGTAACGGTAAAGCACGGAGAAGGATGCGACCCAAGACGAACAATGATGAGCGCAACGTGGAACCGAACGCCTCGAGAGGCAAGTCCATGGGCTCCAGGCGATTGGCACGCATCCCCAGGCGCGTCGTGGTCACGTGGTTGTGCTTGTTCAGCTCCAGGCAGCGCACGGCGTGCTCGCGCGGGAAGCCGAAGGACTCGAGCTCCTTGAGCAGATCCTCCTCTGGCTCCCTCGCGCCTGCGGCCGCTGGCCAAGGCCAATGCCCACCCGTCGCTCCGACCCGTCCCGCTCCTGCCCATGCCGGGCTCCCCCCGCGCGTCTCCCGTGCCCCCCCGCCCTCCTCCGCCACCTCTCCATCATCCGCCCCTCCTCCCCCTTGTCCACCCCTCGCTTCCACCTCCTTTTCCTCCTCCTCCTCCTCCTCCTCCTCCTACTCCTCCTCGCCCTCCTCCTCATCCTCATGCTCCCTCCTACTCCTCCTCGCCCTCCTCCCTCCTCCTCACCCGTCCATCCTCCCTCGCTTCCTTGCTGGACGATGGCGCCGTCGTCGTGGTCGTCGCCCGCCTCTTCCAGGAAGAAGGCCCACGTCGGGACTCGGCAGGCCGCCGCGCCAGAAGCTACGACTCACGGAGCTGCAACTGCACGCCGGGCGCAGCCCTCGCGTGGCGTACTCCCAACGGCACAGCACCGGCATGCCAGGCGGCCGTGACGCCCGCATGGCCGCCGTGCCAGGTCAGACGGTATTTGCTCCCGCCTCGGCCGCGTATGCACTCGACCAGGGCAGTAAGGATGCGCAGTAAGGTTGCAAAGGACTTAGAACGCCATGTTGACGCTTTCCGTGCGGAGCGCAGCATAATGCCGAAGGATGCCGAATAGCGAAGGGGCAAGGATGCAAGGGTAGCCTTGGAAAGTTGCCCCATCCTTACTATCATGTTTGACTGTACGGCCAATATCTGTTATGGTCGCAACTGTATTTGGCGATGGTGCCGCCCAACGATGCCCTGGATGCAAACTCGAGACACTGATAATATATAATTTGGCGATGGCGTCTTTGGAGAATCACCAGGTGCCCTCAGTGCGCTATCGACAGCGAAAACGTACTTTTCGCATTGTATAATGTGGCGGTGGTGTCGTAAAACAATTGCCCACATACCGAACTAAGCAACCAAGCGAACTTCAAGCAACGAGGGGTACACATTCTCGACGCTCTGGCATAATGAGTGTCCTTGGCACCAGGGGCTCATGTGAAGGCGGTAGGCGAACAATGAAAACACCTGTGAACACGGACGACATGACCATGTGCTCAGCGGGGCCCTAATTTCCGCGCGGCTTGCCATGATGACCAATGCACCGATGGTATCCCTGTGACTGCCTTGTCACCGACAGAGGAAGGATTCAGTGAGGCGTCTCCTGGGGCCGAGCACCTAGATATGGGAGCAACGGCCAATTCCCAGAATGGCGCAGTGGAAATATGGTGCGCGCTTGGGCACACATCACAGTTGTTCGTCAAACTTCGCGGTGTTGAAATTCAAGACATGGCTTTCTGGCACTACACAAGATCGCCCAGACGTAACCATCAGGTCAACTCGTCGCGTTGAAGGCATGACAATGCTGTTTGGGCTCGCTTCAGTGGGAATGACCCCTTGCAGGGACCCACGAAGAGGGATCGTGGAGGGAGGGTTTTCATCATCGTTGATGATTATTGTGTTTACACTGTTCCTTCTCATCCTCCTCCTCCTCCTCGACCTCGTCCTCCTCCTCTTCCCCTCCTTCCTCCCAATCCCTCCTCCGCCCATCTATTTCCGCCTCTCCTCCGCTTACTCCTCCTCCTGCTACTCCTCCACCTCCTTCTCCTCAGCCTCCTGCTCCTCCTCCCCCTCCATCCACCGCGCCTGCCGAGACTGGCGAACATCCTCCGGACGCACGACAGACACCTCCTGCCGCCTCCCCTCCTGCCGACCCCCCACCCCCTTGGAGGAAGAACAAATGCATAAACATAAACACTTGGAGGTCCGCGCGGATCTCTTGGATCTGGGCCACAGCCCCCTCCCTGGCGCGCGGAGTGCGCCAGGGGGCTCCAGCGCGGATCCAAGAAATCCGCGTGGAGCATTTTTTCTTGTTCGAGCTCCTGCCGCCCACCCCCCCTTGATGGGCCTGTTTTCCACCACCACCACCACCAACAACAACATAAATTGAAGGGGAAGGAGGGTCCTCCTCCTCCTCCTCCTCCTCCTCCTCCTCCTCCTCCTCCTCCTCCTCCTCCTCACTCCTTCTCCTCCCTCCCTCCTCCTCCCTCCTCCCTCCCTCCCTCCCTCCCTCCCTCCCTCTCCTCCTCCTCCTCCTCCTCCGCCTCCTCCCTCCTCCTCCTCCTCTCCTCCTCCTCCTCCTCCTCCTCCTCCGCCTCCTCCGCCTCCTCCTCCTCCTCCTCTTTGTCCTCCTCCTCCTCTTCCCTTTCCTCCTCGTCCTCCTCCTCCTCCTCCTCCTCCTCCTCCTCTTCGTCCTCCTCCTCCTCCTCCTCGTCCTCCTCCTCCTCCCCCTCCAACTTGTGGTGGTGGTGGACAACAGGCCCACCACCCCCTGCCGCCTCACCCGCGAGGCGGCGGGCTGGCCTGGCAGCCACTGCGCGGGCAGCGCTGCCTCCGGGATCTGCCGGCACCACGGGTGCCTGCGCACCTCCTCGCCAAGCGCTCGGCCGGAGGAGGGCCGCGCGGAGGCCGCGTCGCGGTCGGAGGGCCGTGGCGCTGGCCTGCCTCGTCACGGGTGGCCCTCCCGGGGGCGTCTCGTCGACGCCGGCCCCAGCCTCATGTTGCTCCCATCGTACTTGAGGACCACATCCCAGAAATAACTTCGAGCACCCGGAAAAGTGCCGAAAGGGTGTCGAAGGAGTGTCGGACGAGGGCCTCCCAGGGCCCGACGGGTGAAGGCCCTCGAATCTCGTTGCTGTTGTTCTGGTGCTCGACATTTTTTTTCTGGTGGTCAAGGCTAAGATAGGCTGGAACAGCAGAACTCCCGCCCCCGAACACTCGTCGGCGAGAGTCGAGGCTCCCGGCAACAGCTTCGCGAGCCTGGACCCCGCGAGGCCTGCGCGGGGGGCCCGAGCCTCCCCCCCCCCCAACAACAAAAAAACGGGAGCTCGGGCGCCTGCCACCAAAAAAATCGCAGCCGCCTCCCCCCCCTCCCCGGGTCTGGTTCGCCAAATGGTGGGCCTGCTTTCCACCGCCGCCGCCAAAAGTTGGAGGGGGGAAGGAGGCGAAGGACGAGGAGGCGGAGGAGGAGGACGAAGAAGAGGAGGAGGAGGAGGAGGACCCCCTCCCCCTCCAACTTTACGATGGTGGTGGTAGAATGCGAGCCCATCACAAAAAAAAATGCCAGGACGGACCCCTGAAGGGGTCCAGGAGCCGATGTTGAGGAGACCTGGGGAGGGCAGGAAGCCATGGCCTCAGCGTGCCCTCCTCCGACGTCGGAGGCGAGGAGGGCGGAGGACGGCGGCGGCCGCGGTCCTCCTCCTCCTCCTCCTCCTCCTCCTCCTCCTCCTCCTCCTCCTCCTCCTCCAGAGGGGAGGGGGACGAGGAGAAGGACAGCGCGAAGAGAGGGAAGCAACGCAGGAATACGAGGGCGTGGCGCGTGGATCTGGCGGATCAGCGCCGGGTCAAGTCACCTGTCACAAAGAGGATTCGACTGAAAAAAATTGCGCCCGTGCCCCAGCGAGACCCCTGAGCGTTGATCGGGGGCGCGCAAACATGGATTAGCGATCCATGGATTTGGCGCGCGGTCGCCAAATCCATGGATCGGGGGAGGTGCCCTCCCCATAATGCGGCTGGTGGCGCCTCGCTCGGCGGCGGCAGTCAGCGATTTCCTATGGAAACGGGACCCGTCGCCAATCCACGCCCCCTTAATCTTAGGTCGGGCCTGTCCCCCTACAGGGGGATTTTGGGCGAAAAACTTAAAACACTCAAAACATACTCCTACATGGGTCAACAATAACAAAAACAAATCGTCCCCATACGATTTGTTTTGCCGATTTTTGAATATTCCCCCTGTAGAGGGACAGGCCCGACTTGACCTTAACCCGTGTTTGCGATCGCTGGAGTTGAGCACCCTGTGGCGCCGTGCCCGCGTGCGTGCTCCCCCTTGACGGTTGGGTTGGCGCGGGGCCAAGGGGGGCAGGCCGCCTGCGAGCATGAGAGGGAAAGGCTCGGCCCCGAGAACGGCCACCCCGGCACGCGAAGCCGTTTCGTAAACGCACCCAAAGAAGGAATCAAACGGGGCAGGGCTGTTTAATGCAGTCGGACTTGACTGGAGAGGACACGCGAGAGGACAAAATACCCTTTCCGAGGGGCACGCTGCCATGGGAATGTAGGAGGCATGGGTCGCGAGACGCAGGACACAAGGGTACCCTTGACTTGGCAGGGTCGACCTACTAATCAGGGCCGATTGTAAGCGCCCAAGGTCGTTCAGTAAACGCCAACTGTCTGGCCCGGGTGGTTTTTCCTACCTTGAGAGTAGCGCGAGAGCCCCTGGCTTCAGAGAGCGAGTCACGGCGTTCACGGCTCGGATCAACCCACGATGCGGTCACCGCACCGTTCTCGGCGCTCTGTGCCGCTAGGCCCGAATCAAAACAGTACGGTCACCGCACCGCGTCGGGACCCCAAAACCTTCCCTGAGATCCGACGTTGTGAAAAAATGCAGCACCGCGGAAAATCACGACCGGGGCACTAGACCCATCTTTCTGCTGCACGTTTCGAACCAGATCGGTCGGTGCTGGTCCCCGGGTGCGAAACTCGGCGGAGACGCCTGGCGCGAACAAATCGTAACGCTCGGTGTGAATAACTAACTCGCCACGGACTCACCACACGGTGTCATTAACGGTTTGTTTTTGGAGCCCCTGAGAGATCCCAGCGACCGCCGAGCCGAACCGCCGATGGGGTGCGGCCCGACTGGTAGAGTTGCGAGGCGAATCCAGCCGCGGCCACACGAGCCTCCCAGGAGACCAGAAACTGCCAAAACGGAGCAGGGGTGGCGGCAACGGTACCTGTACGTGGCGACAGCCGAACCCTGCGCCCACCAAGCATCGATTCTCCTCATCGATGGGAGGCGGGGGGCCTTGCTCCACGTGCTCGACGACTTGCGCATCCTCACCCACCGCTCGTCGAGTTGCCCGAATCGTTGATCGGCGAGGGGGTTGGGCTCGGATTTTGCCAGCGAGCTGAACCTCTGCCCCCCATGACCCCTCCGCCGCCCATTCGTCATTGCACTGGCCTTGCAAACGCGCTGCAGCAGATTTCTGCGTGGATTTTTACGCGAAACGGCGAGCCAAAAACGAAGTGAATTTCGCGTGAATAATTGTTGGACTTCGTCCTGGCCAAAACAAATCCACACGAAATTCACCGCGAATTCTGGACGAAATTATCCAAGACACCCTGGGCCCACCGTATCGTTTTCCGAACGAAATCCGCTCTGCGATGATGGCAACTTAACATTCGTCTGTAGCAACACCTGGTAGCCTCCCACGCCATTCGGCTCTTGCGGATCGACCCTAATCGGTGTTAGAACAATGCGCATCGACACTAAATCGACGCTAGTTGGTGCTAAACGGCGCTAGACCGGCGCGATATCATCGACTCACAAACGCCGATCGACGCGAATCGGCGCTAAAGACGAAATTGATCTATACAAGGCTCCAGTGCTGTGTTACCGAATCCCCTGACTCCCCCTTTGTCCACCCATCCCCCCGAGAGGAACCCAACGGCCGCCTCCGCCGAGGGCACACTTCGCGCGACGCCCGGAGAGGGCACTCCTGGACGCCGAGCCTCCGCGCCGGGTCCACCGTGAGCAGCCCGCCGATCAGGTCCTGGCGGCAATCGCGGGGCGAGGAGCCGGATCTCCATTGTAGAGGCCTCCTAAATTGGGTCGGAATACATGGGGTCGGGAGATCGCGCCGCATCGCCGATACGTCGGCGATGCATCGGTGATGCGCCGGCGATGCATCGTCGCCGTCGGCGATGCATCGCCGACGTCGACGCGAAGCTAACCGGGCCACACATCGAGCCCCATCGGCGATGCATCGGCGATGCGGTGCGATCCTCCGACCCAGTCTCCTCCGACCCCATCTAGGAAGCGTCATTCGAATGTTGGTATATACATAACTAAAAAAACTTCGGACGGGCTCTCCATTCGGGAACGTTTTTTCGGGACAGGGCACGCGCGCTACATATTAAAATGCGGATGGTGCCGCTTGAACGCCGCGACCTCGAGAGCTGAGTAGACCTCAGGCGCGGCGGCGCGGCTGTCACGGGAGAGCAGGCAACGCTGTTACAGGGCGGTTCCTCGCTGCAGTTCAGGAGTGTTTCGCGCGCCCACGGGTCCAAGTACAACTCCATATGGTCTCCCCCTTCACGTTCCCCACCAGGCGCGGAGTAGTCGTCCACGGCGGCGCCGCGCAGGTAACGCTGGCACTGCGCGCGTATACTCTGACGCTGGTGCTGCGTTTCCAAGCGATGGGGCCACTCAAGTGGCCTGCGGCCTAAACCGGCCGCAGCGCGCTAGATAGCTGCACAGACCTTCTACCCGCGATCGAAGCTCGCTGCATAGACTTCTAAGGAAGCCGCTGCAAAGAACTGTTCGTCACCCGAGAAGAACTGGATGATGCGAGCGCCCTTCCACTGATCGCCGGCGGGCAGGGGGGCGTCGAACTTAACGCCGTCCAACGCGCAGCTGTGCGACGTCGCTCGGGTTCCGATGGGGGCCGCCAGAAGACCGAGCTGCGGGGGCGGCCGGGACAGTCGCCCACAGTCTTCTGGCTGCGTACAACGCGCGCTGCACGAAAATCGGCAGCTGGAAGCATCTTCAGGACAAGAGGCACAGGGCCTCGAGGATTTGAAGCCTTGCCAGTAAGCTCCGCGCGCCCTTGGCGGCCACCCAGTGGCCGAAGGTCCTGGCCCCCGCGCCTGGCGCGGCGCGCCTCAGGCAGTCCCCCGCGCGATCCCAGGCCGGGCCTGCTCGCGCCATGCCGGTGCCCATATCGTCGAAGAGGGCACCGATGGAAGCCCATGCGTCCTGCAATCTGCATGCCAGTTCGGCTTGGCGGTACTTGACTGCAACCTTGCAACTGCCGGGGCCTGCAAGGATGATCGCGCCAGGCCCCGGTCAGCCCGACGCGTCTGCCGTGCTCGGAGGCCGGCGGATCTCCCACTCATCGCAAACGTTGAAGCGCCCCTCTCTGGTCTCGGTGGCGCGGGTCGGAAGGGCGCTGCTGGCGCGGGAGATCGAAGTTGCCTCGATCACACGTTGCAGCGCGATCTCTCGGACACGCCACCGCAGTCGGCTGGGCAGCAGTTCTCCACCAGCAGACTGGCCGGCGCCAGCTACGTCGGCGCTGGGCGCCCCCCCCCCCTTCGTTTGCTTCGAGCAGTGGCAGCGTGGAGAACAGCCTGCCGGCCACGACCTTGAACGGGGCAGCGCTGCCTGCGCGGGCGAGGCTGTTGCCCGCAAGCGTTGCGCGTGCCCAGCATGGATTCGAAGTTAGCGGCGCGTCCGTCGCGCTCCAGCTGCTTCCGCGCGGCGCGACGCGCGCGTCGTAACGCGGCATCACGTCGCCGAATGGAGCGAGCGCGCTGGCGGGGAGTTCAGATGTCAACCTGCGCTCCTCGCCTCGCGATTTCATACATAACGCGCGCTGATGTCGCGCCGCCTGCGCCGTCCACGATGAAAGTCCCCATCGCTGGATCCGCGAACAATCGATGGCCGCCAGGAGCGCTGAGTCGCCTTGCCCGCGATCCCACGGCCGTTGTGCCGCCGCGAAGCGCAGCAAATCAGGCGCAAGATCACTCGACCCTTGCAATGGAAAGTGTTACATTCGACGCGGGGGTTCAATCGCGTCGATTGGCGTCGCGCAAAGATTGTAGGATGCGCCGGAGGTTGCAATTTGCGACATTCCAGACAGTCGCTGACCACTGTGGGAATGAGGTCGGGGCCTGCCTGTGCCGCGTTGGCTGATCGCAGGGCTCGCGCCATCTCGTCATTTGTAGCGAGCCGCCACCGCTGGAGCTGATGCCGGCGTTGCTCTGGCGCGCGCGCCTCGAGCGAGTCGCCGCGCATTGGCCAAAGCGACGCGGCGATGTCAAAGCGAGGCCACTCTGGACGCGCCAGTTTGCCTGCAGCATAGCCGGCAGCTCGCGGCGCGGATCGTCTGAACACTGCGCCAGTTACTGGGCGAGGTCCCAGCTGCGGCCCAGCGACGCAGTCCCTGGAACCACTGCCCTGAGCCCCAGCGATGGATGATTAGCTGGCCCCTGGTGCACTTGCAGGCGCCGGCGGCTAGATTACCGCGGCCGCGCCTCAGAGGGCTCTCGCCCCAATCGCGCCGGTCTGCCCCAGCGCCGCTCGAGCGAAACTCACTCAGGTTAACCAAGACAGGACTGAGAGGCCTGAAACTACTCTGGGACGCCCTGACGCAATCCCGGGTTTTGGCGCGCGTGCCCAAGTGTCCGGTGCTTGCGCGCGGAAGTATGGATCGCGCGTGGCTCGGGTGTAATTCAAGTGTGGTTCAGGTGCAGTCTTTGTTGTTCAAGTGCAGCTCAAGAAGCAAACTTCAAATGTCTTCCAAGTGTGGTTCGAGTGTTATTGAGGTGCGTTTCAGGCGCAGTCCCACCAGCCCTCTGGACGTGAGTGGTTTAGGGGGCCCTCTCTGTCCTCAACCCCTTTCTCCCCCTTCGGGGAGGGGTTTGCCCCTCCCGCACCCCCTCCCCCATGGACCTGGAGAGGCCGTTCCGCGCGTCGCCAGGGCGCCGCGCGCTGCAATTTCATAGAGTTTCGGGGCCCGACGGGGGGACAAAGAAAAGTGCTCGTCTCTGTTTTGATCGATCGCCTCCAAGATGGCCCCAAGAGACCTCCCAGACCCCCCCAAAGAGCCCCAAGAGGGCCCCAACAGCGCCCCAAGAGAGCCCCAAAGGAGCCCCAAGGGAGCCCCGAGAGGCTCCACGGGAACCCCAAAAGGGCCCAGCGACTTCCAAAATATCCCCAAGAAGGTTCCGGGATACCCACAAGATGCTTCCAAGAGGCCCCCAAAGCGAAAGACCCAGAGAAGTAGAAGGATATACGCGTGGGCAGGAGGAGGCGCGCCCGAAAGCCACGACTGCCGGCATGCTTCGCACAAGTTGCTGTTCTGGAATGGGCTGGTGGGGATGCGCGAAGCGTAAAGAATTTAAATGTGATTCGGAAGTCGTTCAGCTGCGGTCATTGTAGTCCGAGAAAAGTTGAAGTGTAGTTCAAGTCAAACCCGGGCGTCGTTCAAACCTCGTTCAAATGTAGTTCGAGCGCGGCTTAAGTGCGGTTCAATGTTACTTCAAGTGCGGCGCAAGGTAGTGATTGTAGTTCACGTGCAGTCCAAGACTAGATCCAGCTCAACTCAAGCGCAGTGCAAGTGGGGGTCACCTGTTGGTCCAAGTGTACTTCGGGTGTAATTCAAGCGCGGTTCAGGCGCAGCCTTCGTAGTTCAAGCGTAGACAAAAGTAACTCAAAGGTGACGCGGGTGTAGTTCACGGGCAGCTCAAGCGCGGTTCAGTTGTGCCTCAGTTGTAGCAAATTCCGGGGTCCAGGCCAAGCCCTTGTACTTGAAATGTGGCCCAGGTGTGAAGCGTGGTTCAAAAGGTAACTCAAGTGTAATTCAAGTGTAATTCACATGTAGTTCAAGTGTAATTCAAATGTAATTCAAGTGTAAGCCAAGCGTGACATTCACATGTAGATCAAGTGTAATTCAAGTGTGGGCATCGTGTACTTCAAGTGCCCCACCCAGGGCGGCTCAGGTGTAGACCGTGCAGTTCTAGTGTAGTCAAAGTGTAGTTCGGGTATAACTCAAGTGTATTCCTGGTGTAGTGTCCCTTTGTGTTCCAAATGTACTGCAGGTAGAGTTTCAAGGGGGGTCAGGCGTGGCCCGTGTAGTTCACGTACAGTTCAAGTGTAGGCCACATGTAGTTCATGTACAATTAAAGTGTAGCTCAAGTGACATTCAAGCGCGCCAAAGATGTAATGCAATCTGGTTCACGTAATGAAATTGCACCGCATGTGAATTTCACGTGCAGTTGAAGTGGCGTTCGAGTGCGGTTCAAGCGGTGTCCGTGCAGTATCAATCTAATCCAAGTGTGGTCCAGGTGTTCCCCAAGCGTTTTTCAGTGCAGTCCAAATGAAGTTCCAGGGGGGGGGCGACATATCTCTCAGGCGTGGTCCGAATGCGGCACGGGCGTAGCGCCTGTAGTCCATGAGAAGTTTAAGTTCAAGCCAGACGTAGTTCACATGTAGTTCGAATGCAGGTCCAGTATGGCACAAGTGCAGACCAATCGCGATGCAAGTGTAGTTCAGAAGCACCCCTTGTAATTCAAGGGTGGTCCAACTGTGGCTCGAATGTAGATCCGGTAAAATCAAAATCTTGTCCAAGTGAACTCAAACTGTTATTCAAAGCTTCATTAGCTTGGGCTTAAGGGAGTCAAAAGTGGATCCGGCATGGACTTTGTAATTAAAATGTGGCCCAATGGCAGTTCAAGTGCACTTCAAGTGTAGTTCAAGCAGTTCGAACGCAATCCAAATTTAGTTCAAGTGGATTCGCGTGTAGAGCCAGCGCGAACAAGGTGAATCCCAAGTAGTCCAAGTGTAGTTCAAATGCCCTCCACTTTGAATTCAAGGGTAGCGCACATGTATCCCAAGTGCCGTTCAAGTAAAAGTCAAGTGTGAGCAAGGTGCAGTCAAAATGCGGTTGCTGTGTAGTTCTTGTAATCCGAATGTAGTGCCAGCGCAGTTCAAGTCCGAGTCAAAAGTAATTCAAGTGCTCTTCAGGCGTAGCCCAACTGAAATTCACGCTTGGCTCGTGGATCCCCCGTGTTTCAAGTGTACTTCACGTGTAAGTCAAGTGTGATTCAAAAGCTGCTCACACGCAGTGCACATGAAGTTTTTACGTTTTGTGTTAGTGCAGTCCAAGTCAAGCGCGGTCCAGTTGTAGCCCCCGTACATCAACTGTCGCTCAAATCTAGAGCAAGCCTGTCTCAGGTGTAATTCAAATGCAACGCAGGCGCGCTTCAAGCGTAGCCTGTTGTACTACAACTGCAGTTCAGGTGTAACCAAGTAAAGTCCATGTTTCGTTTCGGAGAACTTCAAGTGTAGTTCATGAGTAGATCAAATCCAGCCCAAGTGCAGTTTACGCATAGTTCAGGTGCAGTGCAGGCGCAGTTCGAGTGCAAGACGAGACGGGCGCAGGTGCTCAGTGCAAGTGCAGACCCACTGCAGTTCCAATTTATTTCTTGCGCAGTGCAGGAGGATTCCGTTCAAGTGTGGCTCGAACGGAGACATTGCTGCTGAGTAATAATAAAGTTACAGCTCGTATGTAGGTCGAATCTAGTCCAGGAGTAATTTTCAAGCGTAGGTGAAGTGTACTTCAAGTGTCGTTCAAGTGCATCTCAAATGTAAATGAGGGGAGGCTCGGTAGTTCCCCGCGCGGTTGAAGTGCAGTTCGACGGTACTCCAAGTGTAGTTCAACAACAGTTCAAGCGTAATCAAGACGTTCTCAAGCGCAGCCAAGTGCAAGCCTTCTAGTTCTAGTGTAGCGCAGGCGTAGTTCCAGCATTTTCCAGGCACGGTTAAAGAACAATACAAGCGTTGCGCAAGTGTACTTCAAGCGCAGCGCAAGTGCACTTCAAGTGCAGTTCGACTGTAAAGCTCAGCGAGACGCACCGCATTACCGCGCGGCACCGCGCGGCGCAGAGGGGCAGGAAGCGGGCTCCAATTTCGGCAGCGCTGCCTCGCAGCCCCGCGCGAAACAACACTGCGCGGCGCAACGCGGCGCCGCGAGGAACGACGCGCGCGACGTTGGAACGTCGTTTGCTTGACATGCGTGAGCACGAGTAATTCACGAGGCGCGAACGCGTTCATCGCTAAGCGCGCGAATCAAACGGAAGTCCGACACTGCTCCGCAAAAGTGCCGCATCGCGCCGTCGCGCGCAGGCGCGCGCATCCAGGCGCCCCGCTCCCATGGCGCATTCGTCGGCGAAGGTTTCCGCGCAACCATCCGAGTGGAAACCGCTTCAACATTGCCCGCGCACTCGCGGCAAGTTTGCCCGAGCACGCGCACCTCGTTCATCCGCGGGTGAATCTCGGCCACCCTGCAGTTCTATCAAGGAGCTACGAGTGGCACCGCGCGGCGAGGGTCGATGAATAAGTTCGAGGATGGCACGCGAAGCAGCCAACGCTGCTTCTGCATGTGAAGCCGCAGGTTGCCCCCAAAGCTCCGGTGATAGAGCTGTCATTTCTGGCATAATCGCACTGCTATGAAGGACGAAGGTGCGCGCGTCCGTTCTGCGCGATGGATGCAGCGGCGTGCGCTGTGCCCCTGCGACGACGATTGCGCGCGCCGCATCGCCGCGCCCGCGCAGCGCCAACGGCGCGCCGCGCCCCCCTCCGGGAAACCCGGCGGGGCGACCTGGCCCCGCGGCCCGCGCGCGCCGCCAGGCCAAACCTTGCGAGCTGACCCGCCCTCCTCAGATCGAGGCAGCCCCGCGGGGTTTTCGGCGGCAGTTGCCGAGAGACCCCAAGGACGCCGCGCTACCTACTTCTCACGGGGCCGGGCCGCGGCTGGGGAAGGTCGCGCCAGCGTGTCACGCGCCCCGAGATCCGCGAGAAGACGGGGGAAGGTTGGGAACGACCACGGCGTCCGCATCGTCGATGATGCGTTCCAGGGCGAGCTGGCCGACCCGTTGGCCTTGCTCTGCCGCGAACGTCCACGGACTAGAATTGCGCATGATCGCCGAGATCTCGCCGCGGCAATCAGGGTTCATCACGCCGTCCAAGACGTCCACGCCGCTGCAGCCGAGTCCTGAGTGAGGGGCAGTCCGCGGGCAAATGCCCCGCGGCGCAAGAGCTGCCACGCCCGCAGACGCCAGTGCACGGCCACCGATCGCGAGACCGACATCCCTGGCATGCAGGTCGTAGCATGCTGCCTGCGGCGCGCCCCGCACCGGTGCTTGCGCGTTGGAGCTTGGCAGCTGGACCTCGAGAATCCTGAACTCACGGCCGTCGCTGGAGTCGCAGCCCCCGCGGTCGCCGCCCACTGCCAGCAGCGTGTTCTGCTCGTGCGGTAGTCCTCCGGAGGGCGGCTGGGGTCGGTCAAAGATGTCGACTGGGCTACAGAGACGGCCACTCAGCGCAGATCCCGCGACGAAGTGGATGGTGCCAGGACCCCAATTCATTTCGTTGCCACCAAGCCCGGGGAACGTCAGGCGCACGCGGGCCGCGCCTGCCCCCCCCGCCCCGTCGATGGTCCGCGAGGTTTGCAGACCCAGAAGGCAGAAATATCTAAGCCTGCGCCCTCCGCGGCCGGAGCGCGCACGTTGTGCCGCGTGGTCGCGCCATCGCGGGTGGTCGCTGCGATATGGCAGCGCGCCCCCCAGCGCGCAACCTGCGGCAATTTGGCGACTCCTGCCGCATAGAGTGGCGCTGGCCAGGTTCACGGCAAAGCGTCGCCCCCAGAGGTTGGTCCAAACTCGCCAAAAGATAAAGTGAGACGCTCGGACAACGCGCCCCTGCGCCCGACGACGCGGGCCACCGCGGGGGCGCCGGTCGGCGCGACGGCACGTGCAAGTCCAGGTGTGCGTCGTAGGGCACTACCGCGTCCATGGCGGACATTGAATTGGCAGCGCTGCCTGCTGACAACATTCGATCCTGCCGCGGCGCCCCAGGTGCCGGCGCGGGCCAACGGGATTATATGGCGCCCTGCCGCGGTGGAGTCTTCTCGACGGGCGGGCGGGCTCCATGGGCGCCAGACCCGTCGGATCAGGGCCTGCCGCACGGGCCGGCGCCGCAGGCGTCGGACCCGCCGGAGCAGGATCTGCGCCGACGAAGCGGTCGTCGATGACGTCGGCTTGGCCTCGATACGCCTGGCAGTACACCGTGTGGGCGTCGGCGCTCTGCATATGCTGCGAGCGCACGCCTGGCGCAAGATGCGGCAGCACTGGAGGCGCATTACCCGGTCGCCATGTACAGAGGTCTCGAGACAAATAGGACATCCCCTGTCATCGCCGTCGAATACAGCAACGCGGGCAGGTGCAGCAGTCGCGGCGGCAGGCGCGGGAGGTTTTCCGTCTGACCCTCGGCGGCCTGGCGTCGCTGCTCGATTTGTTGTCGTAAGAGCTCTAGTGCAAACTGCGCGATGTGCTGTGTAGCTCGTCGAGGAGCCGTCGTTGCGTGCGGTCGGGAGTGCTGCCCGCGGTCGCCGCTCGACATCGAGGTCTCGCGGCCGGCGAACCACATGGCCACTCCCCCAGATGGCTGGTTGGCTCACGTCGATCGAAGCGTTCTGGCTGAATAGGGCCAGGCCAGGTTATTGGGAGACTCCAGCACTGGCGGTCATACGGCTGCTGGCGCGGTCTGTGGTGGCCACGCGAAGCTTGATCCGGGGGCTGAGACTGATGGTATGTAAACCCAGCTCGGTAACTGCACGTCGGCAGGTGAGGTCGCAGGCGTCGCGACTCGTGCATTCATGTCGCCCACCCAGTAAAGCCCTTAAGATTGCCCCTGTTGGCAAGCGCTGGCCTTTCCTCATCGCACCCCCCATGTTCTCGCTCCTGATCCCTCCTCGTCGCACCACCACCCCTTCCGGGGCTCTCCTGCACCGCCAAGGCGGAAAAGTGCGTGGTGAGGATAGTGGCAAAGAAGTCTTGGAAAGCCGCGCACACCTGCAGCCATGCTGGGTTTTGCTTACAAGTCTGGTGCCGATCTCGCGCGCCAGCTTGGGCCGTTCCAGCATCAAGTGTGTTGTGACGCCGTACTGCCGCGCGCAGACCGCGAAGATGGCGTCGGCCTGGGCGACGGCACCACCCTCGACGAGGGTCACTTGTACTCACGCAGCGGCCTGCGAAGCGTCGAGTACGACATCAGGTAACCTCTGTGCCTCCGAGCTGGTAGAAGGCGTCGCTCACGTGGGCCAGACCAGCCTTGGTGGCCTGGGAGGCTCGGCGCATGACTGCGACGGCCATCTCGGTACCAAGATTATCGGCGCCCTTGAGGACGATGGCGATCACGGGGAATGGGGTGTACTGTCGGCGGGGTTCCGTGAGCAGCCGTTCGCCGTCGTCGTGGCCGTGTAGCGAGATGTTCGCGGTGAAGGCAATGGGACACCTGCTGCGTTGCGCGCCGGGTTTGCCGAGACTGGGGCGGACTCGCCGTTGGAGCCGAGGTCCAGTGGGGAGGGTCCCGCACCCTCTTGAGCGCATCCGTCCCAGGCTGGGGCTGGTGCGCCACCGTTGTCGAAGCCTTGGGCGCGATGGTGGTGCTCGAACGTCCGATCCTGTGGTTGCCGCACGACCGCTGGAGACCAGTCTTGGGTTGCTGCACCTACTTTTCTGGTGTGGGATCGGCGGAGGAGGAGGAGGAGGAGGAGGAGGAGGAGGAGGAGGAGGAGGAAGACGAGGAGGAAGACGAGGAGGAGGAGGCGGAGGAGGAGCTGTTTCAGCTGTTTCGCCTCTCGCTCCCCGCGGGTCGCGCGGCAGACGCGCCGCGCCTGCCGCCCTTGCCGCGGCGGCCTGCTCTCGGGACGTCGCGGCCCTGGGGCCCACCTCCTCTCCACTCGCGCCTTGCGGAGCAGGAGGAGGAGGAGGAGGAGGAGGAGGAGGAGGAGGAGGAGGACAGGGACCCCTTCGTGAGCTCAGCGCAGGCACGCGAGGCGCGGCCAGCACCGCCCTCGCGGAGCGCGTCACGGGGCGCACCGCTGCGGGCGCCTTCGCGAGCGAGCGCGAGTGCCTGCTCAGTGGCGCGCGGGTCCCGGTCGGAGGAGCCTCGGTGTTAGTCGGGCCTGTCCTCCTACGGGGGGATTGTCGACGAAAAACAAAAAATACTCCAAACATACCCCCCAAATGGTCACAAAAAACTCCCCCCCTCAAAAAAAAACGTCCCCTGAGTATTAACTATTTTGAATACCCCTCTGGTAGAGGGACAGGCCCGACTTAAGCCTCGGTCGTCGCGCGGCGGCCCTTTGCCATTGACCACCGCGGCATCCGGCGTGGGGGAGACGGGTATCGCCTATAGCCTCGCTCCCGAGAGCGAGTCCAGGACGTACCAGGGGGCTCGGAGAAGGCCCGGGTCACGGGGGACCCTGGAGCAAAGGATATAGAGAGAGGGGGAAGGCGAAAGCGACAGAGAGAGAGAGAGAGAGAGAACGAGAGAGAGAGTGAGAAAAAAACAACTAATTTTTGAGAAAGAGAGGGAGAGAGAGAGAGAGAGGGAGAGAGAGAGAGGGAGAGAACGAGAGAGAGAGAGAGAAACAAAAACAAAAAACTAATTTTGAGAAAGAGAGAGAGGGAGAGAGAGGGAGAGGGATAGAGAACGAGAGACCGAGAGAGAGAGAGAGAGAGAGAGCGATAGCTAGAGGCTAGAGAGAGAGAGAGAGAAAACACAAAAAAAGAGAAACAAAAAAAGAGAGAACCTCCGTTGGGGCCAGGCGACCCCGCTCGGGGGACGGCGCCAAATTGCTGGACTCCCTCGAGCACCCGGGGCAGGTGCCGGCGAGCGCCCGGGGACGGGGGGAGGGGTCCTTCTCAATGGGGCCCAGGGACACGCAAAGAAATGCACACGAGCACCAGGATCCTCATGTTTTATTTCCAGGAGCACACCTCAAACAAAACAAAAATAACAAACAAAAAGCATAAGTAAATAACAAAACAATAAAAAGAGACTCATTTCCAGTCAAAAAGACAGATTTCCAAAACAAAAAAAACACTAAATGGTTTCCCGTATGTTCTGGGTGTCTGCCTTCCCCCCCCCACTGCCCATCTGTTCCCGTATGTTATGGGTGTATGCCTTCCACCCCCCCACACTGCCCATCTTTTCCCTTATTCTCGGGGGAGTCGACGATTCCTGGTGTCTGTGAGGCTCACGACCCCCCGCCCGCGCCCGTCTCCTCCGCCCTCCGATTATGAGAGGCCTGTTTTCCACCACCACCACCACCACCATAAGTTGGAGGGGGGAGGAGGAGGAGGAGGAGGAGGAAGAGGAGGAGGAGGAGGACCAGGAGGAGGAGGACGAAGACGAGGAGGAGGAGGAGGAGGAGGAGGACCCCCTCCCCCTCCAACTGATGGCGGGGTGGTGATGGTGGACAACAGGCCCATCAGATTCTCTGTTGTGGGCCAGGCCAGATCACGAGCCGAGCAGGTCAGCGTGACCCCTCCCGGACGCTGGGCCCTGGGGGGCACGGGCCCTGAGGGGCGTGGGTCCCGGACCCCGGGGCCTTCCCCCCGGACCCGCTCTCCATCCGGGGGGCCGCTTCCTCACGGTCCCGGGCCACACGGAGGTCCCGAGGGCCCGAGCACGGCGACCACCTGTGGGGACCCGCTCTCCTCTGAGTGTCGTTCAACCGATCCCCATCCCCAGCGGCGTGGCCTGGGCCCCACTGGCCGATTTACCCTCCCCAGATGGGGACATAGGCCGTTCCCTTCGGGTCTCGAAGGGTGCATCCCCAACTGGGGTGGCGATTGGGTCGGGGCCCCGAAGGGCCACACGGAGGAGGAGGAGGAGAAGGAGGAGGAGGAGGAGGCGGAGAGGGAGGAGGAGGTGGAGGAGGAGGAGGAGGAGGAGGAGGAGGAGGAGGAGGAGGAGGAGAAGGAGGAGGAGGAGGCGGAGGAGGAGGAGGAGGATGGAGGAGACGAGGGGGAGGAGGGAGGAGAGGAAGAAGGCGGAGGAGGAGGAGGAGGAGGAGGAGAAGGAGGAGAGGAGAGAGGAGGAGCAGGAGGAGGAGGAGGAGGAAGAGGAGGAGAAGGAGCAGCAGAGAGGAGGAGGATTTCTTCTGGGAGGGAGGGAGGAAAGGGAGGAGGAGAAGGAGGAAGAGGAGGAGGGGGAGCAGGAGGAGGAGGAGGAGGAGGAGGAGGCATGCAGGACGACCACCTCACCAATCGGGGAGGACATCCAGTCCCCCGAATTCGACGTCCAGGGCGAAGCCTCCAAACGGAGTCGGGGCCTTGGGCCCCGAACCGAGAGGCAACTTCGCCCCAGTTCGCGGATGGCTTCCGCTCCAGAGGTGGTCCAAGCGGGCACGGGTCGAGGAGGAGGAGAAGGAGGAGGAGGAGGAGCCTTTTACTTGGGTGAAGCCCACAGGTGCAGTGCCAGCGCGGGGCATCAGCGGCAGCTGGGGGCTTCGCAGAGCGAAAACAATTCACGACACGCAGCGCGCTCCAAGCAGGCGGTGCCTCTCGGTCAAAATGGCCACTCGGCATGCAGGACGACCACCTCACCAATCGGGGAGGACATCCAGTCCCCCAAATTCGACGTCCAGGGCGAAGCCTCAAAAGGGAGTCGGGGCCTTCGGCCCCGAACCGAGAGGCAACTTCGCCCCAGTTCGCGGATGGCTTCCGCGCCAGAGGTGGCCAAGCGGGAACGGGTCGAGAAGGAGAAGCAGGAGGAGGAGGAGGAGGAGGAGGAGAAGAGGAGGAGGAGAGGAGGAGGAGGAGGAGGAGGAGGAGGAGGAGGAGGAGGAGGAGGAGGAGGAGGAGGAGAGGAGGAGGAGGAGGAGGAGGAGGAGGAGGAGGAGGAGGAGGAGGAGGATGGGGCTCCTCTGAGACCCCGGGGAGGGGCGGGGAGGCGACGGCCGTCCCGGGGTGCGGTGACCGAGGAGGAGCGGGTCCCGAGGGCGGTCGCCGAGCTCGGGCCCTCGGGAGCCCTCTCCTCCTCCTCGTACTCCTCCGCCTCCTCCGCCCTCCTCCTTCTCCCTCCTCCTCCTCCTCCTCCTCCTCTCCTCCCCCTCCTTCCTCCCCATCATACCCCTCCTTCTACTCCTTCCTCCTCCTCCTCCTTCCCCTCCTCCTCCCCCTCCTCCCCCTCCTCCTCCCTTCTCACCCTTCTACTCCTTCTCCTACTTCCTCCTCCTCTCTCTCCCTCCTCCCCCCTCCTTCCTCCTCCTCCGCCTCCTCCTCCTCCTCCTCCTCCTCCTCCTCCTCCTCCACACCCAGCGATCCAACGCCTTGAAAAAGTCAGGACGGAGGTTTTGCGCAAGTTTCGGCCCCCAAGGGCCCTCGCCGGCCCTCGGGGTCGTCCAAAAACGACTCAGGATGAAAAGCCGGTCCTGGGGAATGGGTCGAGACTTCTGGGGACCGCGCATTGAAAAACTCACGACATCGGATCTCTGGGAATGGTCACACCCCCGGCGATGAGGTTTTGGAACTCTGGCTGGCGCTCCTATGACCCCGTTGGACGCAAGACTCGGAGCGCGGCTTGGTGCTGGGGACGCGGATGAGAGAGAGAGAGAGAGGGACAGGAAGTAGAGAGAGAGAGAGAGACAGACTTAGGTCGGGCGCGTCCCCCTAGAGGCGGAGCTTGCACGAAAAATCAGAAATAGTCGAAAAGCAGTCAAACATGATCAAACAAATACCCCCAAAGTAGTCCCATCTATATTCTGACTTTTTTGGAAAGAACGCCTCTGTGAGGGGCCGTGCCCGACTGAAAGACCGACAGAGAGAGAGAGAGAGGGAGAACAGGAGCCGTCATGACAACAAGAGCGGTGCCTCCTGCTCTCTGCTTCCTTGCCAGGGGCAGGGGCAGGGGCAGGGGCAGGGGCAGGTGGCAAACGAGTCCGTGGAGCTTCCCGCGGCTCGTTCTGGTCGGGGCAAGGCGCCCCCGCGGGACTAGATCCAGCACGCCTCCGACTGGTAACATCACAAGGTCGAGCCGAGCGGCTTCGCAATGTGCGTGCTCGACTGTTACCCCGAAGGGTGCACCACGTCTGGCGACGTGCCAAGCCAAAGCAGTGCTTGACAAATCCTGGGCAAGCTCAATGTACCTTCCCAGAGAACCATTAGGGCTGCAAGTGCAAGCCTACAGTGTTTGAAACATCTCAGTCGCCAGTGTGCGGACATCTGTGCGGAAAAATGGAGGCACGCCGATCAGTGGACCAGCGGCGCGGTGCCAGGAGGCCTCAAGTGCTTGACTTGAAATCGTGGGGGGTAGGGGTAGGGTTCGCATGTGCCCCCCTATTGAAACGTCTTCTCGAGGACGGGCATCAGCCCAGAGAGCGAGTATGGCACCCAGCCATATGTGCGACGGCAGCAAGGCAGGCGTCAGCCTCGACCGAGCCGCTGCCCGTAGCGTCACCCGCCGGCGCAAAGGTACGCACAAGGCAGTTGTTGTGTAACATGGGATTTAAACACATATAGGATTTTTAATACATGATCAACGTCTGAATAAAGCTATGCATGAACTCCTCGTTGTTTTTAATACTAAACCCTTGCATGTTTAAGACATGATCCGCACGCGGAGCATGTATTAAAAACGGCACTGTACAGAGATTGTTCCACGACGGCTCCGCATCAAGCGACCCACCCCCTCCATCCACTCCGCGATTGAGGTGCTACGTCGTGCCATATCATCAACCTGCGTGTTCAGCGTGGTGTTTCCGCCTCATGCTCTCACCTTGTCTCACCCGCCCACTCTCTCACACGATCGGACTCGCAGGTATTCTTTCTCATACGTACTCAACCTCGCTCATATTCAGATTCGCCTACACTCCGATATCTAACTCACTCATCCACCGCCGTACCGCGAGGCACTTAGTGAAGTGGCCCAAGGCCCCTTCGGATTCTGTTTGCGTCGCATGTCAGTAATCAGAGTGAGGGGGCCGGACGGTCATTCACTGTCCCTGGGCGTGTGGCTGAATTGAGGTTCCGCGCAGCGGGTTGTTGTTGTTATTGGTGGTGGTGTTGGTTGTGTTGGTATTAGTGTTGGTGTTGGTGTTGTTGTTGTTGGTGGTGTTGTTGTTATTGTTGCTGTTGTTGTTTGTTGTTCAGATATCGTTCAAATCTCATTCTTCTTGGAAACTAGAGAAACGGCTGGCGGCCACGACCTCGCCCCCCGGGGCCGGCAGGGCCGGATCCGGATCCGGATCCGGGACTGGATCCGTGCGCTGTTCAGAGGAATGAGCTCAGACCTGCGCCCTCATGGGCGGGGATTGGGATCACGGATTTGGATTGTCCCAATCCGGATCCAGATCTGGATCCGGGACTGGATCCGTGAGCTGTTCAGAGGCAAGAGCTCAGGCCTGTGCTCTCATGGATGGGGATTGGGATCACGGATTCGGATTATCCCAATCCGGATCCGGATCCCGATTGGGACAATCCGAATCAGCGAGACACCGACGGGACACCACCGGGTCACCGACGGGACACCGACGTGCCACCGACAGGACACCGACGGGACACCAACGGGACACCGACGGGACACCAACGGGACGTCAACGGGGTAGCGACTGGACACCGTCGGTGTCCCGTTGGTGTCCTGTTTCCCGTCGGGTGACCCGGCGGTGACCCGTCGCTGGTCTCCCTTGCGAAAATGGCAACAGCTTCACAATTCGCAGCACCCCAGGGCTGGTGAGGTTTAATCTTAATCCGCGAAGCACGTCACTTCGCTGGACCTCCCAGCAGCCAACGAACGTGGCGACAGTTCCGCAGTTCGCAGCCCCCAGGCATGGTGAGATCTAAACTGGATCTGCATAAGACGCCACTATGCTCGACCCCCCAGCATCCCTCAAAAGTGGCGGCAGTTTAATAGGTCGCAGCAACCCCAGGGATGGTGAGGTTTAACATGAATCTGCGTTGGACGTCACTATGCTGGACCCCACAGCAGCCCGCGAAAGTGGCGCCTATTTCTTAGTTCGCAGCCCCCGCATTGAAGGTAAGGTTTAATCTGAGTCTGAGCAGGACGTCACGATGCGAGACCCCCCAGCAGCCCACGAGCGTGGCGACATGTTCGCAGTTCGCAGCCCCCATGGATGGTGAGGTCGAATCTGAATCTGTCTATGACGTCACTATGCTCGACCCCGCAGCATCCTCCAAAAGTGGCGACAGCTTCACAGATCGCAGCACCCCCAGGGATGGTGAGGTCGACTCTGAATCTGCGTAGTCGTCACTTCGCTGGACCTCCCAGCAGCCTTCGAACGTGGCGACATTTTCGCATTTCGCAGCCCCCCGGGCATGGCCAGATCACCTAGGACTGCCGGGTAGGATGCAGGCTGGCAGGCAGGAAGGAGCGAGTTAAGAGGCAGAAAAGAAGAGGAGAAGGGGTGGGAGGAGGGTGTTACGTGGGAGCAAACCCCGACGGGCGGTCATGTGGCATCTCGGCATCTGAAGGCCCTCAACGGGCTCCAGGGCCATCAAGAAATGGTCCGACGGAAAACTTATACTGGGGAAGGGTTCTAGGCATATGAGGCAGAAGCTCGGCGCACGAAGCCTGCGCTAAAAATGTGAGGCGCATGCACTGCTGCACGCGCCACCAAAGTGCAAAAGCAACCAGCAACGAATCAATCAGAAATGGCCTGTTCGGTGCGCCCGGTAGACAACATCCCTACCATGTCAGAGGCACTCGTTCTGCGAGCTGGCTCGGGCTGCAAAACCGCCTCTAAGCACGCCAGTGTTACGCCGTCGAGTGGATTACCCATGTTCGTCATCGCCTCGGTGTGGCTACCTGCATGGGAGAAAAACTCGAGTACTTGCCGCGCGGCGTAAGCGATGGGCTCGCCACGGCGCCACTGGACCGACAACTTGAGCGAACCCTGCCCGCAAGCGGTCTCCAGGAGCAGCACCCCAAGACTCCAACAATCCGCTGGCTTAGGCAAGTACGGCTCGTTCAGCGCCGCCTGGGACAAACTAAAAAAAAATAAAAGAAAAAAAGAAGGATAAAAAAACAAAAAAAAAGAGAAAAACAAAAAAAAAAAAAAAAAACCGAGCGGAGAAGAACCGCAACATGAAAAACCGAAAAGAAAGAAAAAGAAAACCCCAGAAGCGAAAGGAAAACACAACACAAAGGACAACAGAAAAAGCAAAAAAAGAAAAAACAAAAAACCAGTACGAAAAAAAAAAAAAGAAAGAACGAAATAAAGAAAAATCTAATAAAAAATACAAGAAACGAAGAGAAAAATAAAACACAGCGTGCGCGCGAAAAGAGGTAAAGGAAACAGGACAGGGAAAAAAAGAAATAAGAAGAAAGAAAAAGGGGAATAAAAAACAAGCCACGCACGGCAGAGATCCGCACCAGGTCTCCCTTGCGCTGGAGTTTGGCACGTGAGCTGCCATGCTGAAATCCACAAGGCGGCAGATGTGCCGATTCTGTGATGTCTCTACAGCCACGTGTTTCAAAGACACTTGCCCATGGACGACATCCTGGGCGTGGCAGTAGGACAGAGCACTGGCGATCTGGGCACTGCAATCCAAGGCTTCGTCCTTGGACAAGCGGTACCCAGGTTGAGTCAACAACACCTGCTCCATGCACACGTCTCCACCATACTGGAGAACCAACTGCACACTACGCTGGCTGTGCAACATGCCTACGCAACGAATGATGTGTGGGTGGTCGAGGGTGTGCGTCAAGAAACAGAATTCCTGGTATATGCTCTCCACCTCCCTGGCATCGGTGACGCTGCGCTTGTCGTACTCTTTGATCACTACGTATTCATGCTGCCCGTTCACCGCCAACGAAAGGCGCGAAACCGGGCATCAACACATCTGGAATGGCATTCCAGAGCAAACTACGGAACTCGTCCTCGATGCCTTTGAGTTGTATGGCAGAGAGCACACTCTGGTTCAGAGTGCTGATCTGTGCCCGCACGCGCAGCTGGATGGCGGCGTTCTCTTGGAACTCCAAACTTAACCTATGTTGCAGCCCCCCCGGGTCACCTGCCAGCTCCATCAGCACGCCATCCGCCCCAAAGCTGTGGAGCTCGTCGTACCGCTCCATCAGTTTACTAAGGTAGGCCTTGGTAAGCTCGGGATCCAACCGATCTGGAAGCTGTACCAGGAAGATGGCCACGTCGGGATGAGCCGCCCCAAGATGGTCCAGAAGACATACCACGCGTCTCTTCTCCTTGTTCGTCCTGTATACGGATACGATCAACACGACCTCGTGCTGTTCCACTATCTGGGCGATGCTCTCCAACCTCAACTCTCCACAATCTGCGCAAGATGCCAACACGTTGGCCGGCTTCTCCTGCGAGCTCCAGGGCACCAAGGTCAAAAAGCCAACTTCTGGCGTGCTTGGTGCGACGCTGATGAGATATTCCTCCACGACCCTCCGGATCGCACTGAGTGTTGCCATGATGTATAAGCAAAGCGACTGGCAATCAAGACACTTGTTGAAGCGGCACCTCCGGCCAAATTGCTTCTGCCACCAAAGTTGCGGATGGGGAAGGAGGGAGGGGGCATCAGGGATGAGGCAAGTCGAGGGCTCATGGTGTAAACATCGCGGCAACGTGCAGATAACCACAACCTCGCGATAGTAAGCCCTGTCATGTAGATAGGAAATGAAAACATAGGATCAACACCATGAACTGGTGTTAACCTCGGGGTGTGGGGGGGGGAAGTCCCTGACAGGACGTGCACACACAACATCGCATGAACATTCAGGGACCACATGATGCAATGAACGAGAACCTGCCGTTCAGCATCATCCAAATCACAATACACGGGTAACTGAAACAACCAAGACAGAACTCACGACGAACGCAAAGACACCTTCAGCTGAAGTGGAGATTTGGCCCTAATGGTGACCTGGACACTACAACATCACACCAGGTAATAAACGCCACGTAGATAATCAACGTACTGTTTTCGCGTAGTGTGTGAAACAGTGCGTGGACAAGTATGTAGCAGTGGTGCTTACAACCTGTTTTGTGTACGTAATCTGGTGTTACAAAGGCGTGGCTTCTTTTTTACGTTGTGGAGTCGCAAATGATTTTCACGTAAAATTCGTTCGTAGTGGCTTCAACGTCGTGTTAGGAAAGTGGGGATGAAGAAACGAAGAAAAGAACATGCTTACTTGATGAAGGTGAGGGGTGTAGTGGCTTCAACGTCGTGATCTCACGTAGCGTACCCACGTGGTGTAAGTCCGTAGCGTAGTCGCTCAAATGACTTAAGCACTACACCCACGTATTGCCATTACATGTCGTATCCCCGTAGCGTACGGAATACAATACATGCGCGTAAAAGTTTACGTGGTGCGTGTACGTAAGGTTGGTTCCCCGCGTTCTTTATGCAAAAGTACATAGGCGATGTTTCCCCCGCCGTGTTTGTTACGCCGTGCCTTACGTATTGGATTGACGTAGTGAAATGGCGTAATGGTTATTCCACCCCCGTGCGAGTTGCGTTTTGTTATCATGCCGTGCGTTTGCGCAGCCCCCTCACGTGGCGCGTTCGCAGCAGAGCCCCAGGAGCAGCCCAGGCGGATCCTAGAAGCATCCCAGACGAGTAGTGCACGCACGCTGTACTGTGACATAAAGTTATGTTTCGTTGTGTTGTACGTAGTGCATTGGCGTAGTGAACTCACCTGGTGGCTACACCCCCTGGCCACTTCCGTAGTCCATTCACGTAATGAGTACGGCTGCAGCGTTGGCACATGGCGCGTTCGCAGCAGCGCCCCAGACGCATCCCAGGCGCATCCCAGGAAAAACCTGCATGTACGTAGAGGTTGGTCGTACTATGCCCGCGTGATGTTTTCCGTAAGGCATTGATGTAGTGAACTGTGCAGTGCCTGTTACACTCCTCATTCGATGTACGCTGTGGTGTTATATCGAATAGTGGCGCAACGCCATCACGTTGCGCGTTCGCAGAAGCGCCCCAGGAGCACCCCAAGAACATCCTACGAACATCCCAAGAGAATAATGTATGCACGTAGTGGTTTTAAGTAGTGTTGTTACGCAATGCTTTACGTAGAGGTCTACATTGTGCATCGACGCCGTAAGTGTACATCCCACACCCCCTAGCGATGTACCTAGTGCTTTAGCGTAAGAGTACTTGCGAAAGGTCCTGTTGTAGCGCACTCGCAGGACCCCAGAAACGTCCCAGGAGCGAAGTGTATGTACGTAGTGTTGGCATTTCGAGTTTGTTTTGTACTGACTGATATACGTACGGCAGTGACGCACTGAACTCTCGCTGTGTTTATTCCCCCCTGCGATTTACATTTTCTTCTCACGCAGGTGCATTGGCGCAGCGTCCTCACGTAGCGCGTTCGCAGGAGCATCCCAGGCGCACCGTTGGAACATCCCAAGGGCGTTGTGTATTCACGTGTTGTTTTGACGTAGCGTTTTTTTTTTTTGCGCGATGGTTTACGTAGTGCGATGACGTAGTAAAATCACGTACGCCCCCAACCCCTCTTGCGACTTACGTAATGTGTGTGCGAGGTGTGTGTGTGTGTGTTCGCAGCGTCCTCACGTAGCCCGTTCGCAAGAGCGCCACAAGAACGTCCCAGGAGCACCAGGGAACATCTCAAGAGCATCACAAAAACACCCCCGGAGCTCCCACGGAGCGTCCCGGAGAATCCCAGGAGCGTAGCATGGCTACGCAATGTGTATGTGTATGTGGAGTCAACTTCGCCCCCCGTACAATACGTTTTTTGTACGTAGTGTCCTCGCGCCCGATCAACGCAGGAGCATCATGTGAGCATCCTAAGAGCATCCAGGCAGCACCCCAGGCGACTCTTAGGAGCATCCTACGAGCTTCCCAAAGAAATTCCAAGAGCGAAAAGTATCCGCGTAGTGCTTTAGCACGCAATGGTTATTTCGTTTTCCGTGCGAGGTGCGTCGTGCGTTTACGTAGGAGTCCTCGCGCAGCACGTTCGCGAAAACGCCCTAGGAGCACCTCAGGAACATGGTGGGGGGCATCTTCGAAACATCCCCAAAGCACCCCAGGTGCATCCAAAAAACCGCCCCGTGACAATCCGAACCACGCTCCAGATACAGCCGATTAACATCCCAGGGGCTCCCAAAAACGTAGAAAGGTTGTACGTGATGTATTTCTCGGTTACGCAACGTACACTTCACCATGTATGCGATGTACGTGACGTGTTTGCGTAATCATAAGACGAAGCCGGGATCGGGGCAAAGTTTGACCGGGATAAAAATCATGCTCGGTTTTTCAAATCACTGGGGGCGCCACCGAACGGGCCTGCCACGCCTTGGGCACCATCGGCTTCGCGAGGGAAGGAATGCGCCCCGGCGCGGATGAGGCCACGGCGCGTATTTGGCCACGCGCGCGCCCGAGGGAATTCAGCGCCAAGCGCCTTTCACTCCAGAAGACCCGACGTCAACAAAACAAACTTGAAGCCCCAAGGGGGCCCCAAAGAGGCGGACCGCCAAAACAATCACGCAACCAACGCAACGAAAAACACGTGTAAATATCAAAAAAACGCAGCACTCAGTGACCTCTACGGCCACGCAACACCGCAAGAATGCCCAAGAAGGCACTGGAAAAGGAGCCCGCGCGCGGCCTGGCGACTTCCCCGCGCCGCCCCAAGGTTCCCGAAGCGCGCCGAAATAACCGTAGAGAATAACCCCGGAAAGTTTTTGGAAAGCCCCCGCACTATGCAATATCCGCCACCGAAGAATCTCGCGGACGCCTAGCGCGCACGCGCGGGCGTCCACATGGATGCCCAACTCCGGTTTCGGAGACAATCGCGCGCAACCGCCCGGGGGCTTCGGCAACCTCGCGATTGGCCCAGGGGCCCGCGGGCCCCAGGGAATCGAGGACCGAGTTCGCGACTCCGGAAGCATCGGGCGCGGCGCCAGCCAGTCGCTCGTCTCTGGCTGACAGTGGGACGCCTGGAGATCCGGTAAAACCTGAGGAACTGCTTTTCAGAGATTCACAGAACCAGAAAACGGGGCGCGCCAAATTCTCGCGTCCGAACTTCTCTGAGAATCTCTGAAAGTCTCTGAACTCGACACCCCGCGTGAAACATTCCCATAAACCCAAAACCTCGGAGCTGCCCGAAACTCTCTGAGTTTTTCGGCCCGCGAAATTTGGCGCGCCCGGATTTCCCGTTCTGAGATTCTCTGAAATCGGCCTGCGGCGGCGCCCAGCAGGTCTTCACGCGCCGAGGGTGGGGGCCGTGGACATCGCAGGCCGCGATGGTCCCGACCACGAGGTCCTTCCTCCTGCCCCTCGACGAGTCCACGCCCGTGGGCACGCTCTCTGCGCTGAGCGTGGACCGCGCCATCCGCCGGTACTTCTGCGCGACGACAGCCAACTGGCCGCCGACGGACAAGGCGATTCTTTTCCGAGCTGCGCGTGCCACCGAAAACGTACAATAGCCCGGGCTCGGGGGGAAACACTTTCGAAACATTCTCAGGCCGCCGGCGTCGTGGCTGCCGACCCGCCGCGCGCCGACCGCGAGACTAGCTGGGCCCACTACGTGCGCGGCGGCGGGCGGGCGCCCAAGAGAGCTGTCGCGACGGCGCGCGCGGCGGGGCGCCCGCCCCACTGCAACCGCACATGCGGCCTCCATGGCGCCACAGGCGTAATATGTGTGACGCACTCCCGGGCCCCCCAGCAACGCATCGGCCAGCGCCCAAGCCCCTGAAACGCAAACCTTCTGCGCCCCCCGTGCAAGCCGCGCACCCGCTCCCAATGCTCGTGCACACCAGCTTTTCTGCCCGCCCTCAACAGTTTAATTGAGCGCCCACGCGTTACTTGGGCTCCTCAAGCCCTCGAAAAGTCCTTGGGGAACTTCTGCGAATGCGCGCGCTGCGCTCCACAATTCGGCGTTCTATTTTTCTTTGGAACTCTCCCAAAATCTCTGGTTCCGATTTGTCCCGATCTTCCGCTCAACTGAAATCACGTCGTGCTGACTCCACCAGCAAAATGTCCATTCCGCAATGAGGACGCAACGTCCACTGGATGAACTATCCTCGGGGCTCTTGTCGTAATGCAGCCTAAGAGAGGCCAGGAGAGCAACAAGAGTAGCGGCGATACCTCCACGCACCTTCGTTGTGCAAATACTCTGCGATGTACCCAACCCATCTGCACCAAGTGCCAGAAAAAAAATAGAGAAAAAAAGAAAACAAAAAAAAAAAAAAAAAAAAAAAAAAGAAAGAAAAAAAAAAAAAAAAGATAAAAAAAAAAAAAAAAAAAAAAAAAAAAAAAAAACAACGAAAAAAAAAAAAAAAAAAAAAAAAAAAAAAAAAGAAAAAAAAGAAAGAAAAAAACAAAAAAACAAAAAGAAAAAAAAAAAATAAGAAAGAAAAAAAAACAAAATAAAAAAAAAAAAAAAAAAAAAAACAAAAAAAAAAAAAAAATACAAAGAAGAAAAAAAAAAAAGATGAATAG